CCATCTTCATTTAAATTTAAATTTAAATTTTAATCCCCGCGGTTCCAGGGGGGGTTCGGGTGGTGCTGGTGAGGGGGGCGAAATCTCCGAATAATCTCCGAATAATCTCCGAATTATTCCCGAATTATCTCCGAATTATCTCCGAATTATTCCCGAATTATTCCCGAATTATTCCCGAATTTCTGGTCCCTTTTTCTTTTTCTTTTTTTTTTTTTTTTTCCTTCGCTTTTTTTTTTTTTTTTTTTTTTTTTTTTCCTCCCTTCTCGTCTCCCTTCTTCCCCTTTGCTCGAGCAGAGGCCATTGTTGTTATCAGTGAGCAGCGCGTAGCAGAGGCCAAGTGGAAACCGCCAGCGTTTGGCCATCCCCAAGCCCCCCTCGGCTTTTCCCGCACGCCTCGCCGAGGCTGGGAACCCTCCCGATTCCTCTTTTTTTTTTTCTCTTTTTTTTTTTTTTTTTAATCGCTATTTTTTTATTTATTTTTCATCCCCTCCCCACCCCTCCTAACGGAGAGCGAGCGAGACAATTTGAGCCGCCGTAAGCGCCCGGCTGAACCCCCTCCCCCTTTCCATTTTATTTATTTTTTTTTTTAATTTTTTTTTTTTAATAATAACATTTTAAACAATCCGTTCCACCATAAAAAAAAAAAACGGATTGAATCTTTTCCTTTTTTTTTTAATATATTTTTATATTTTTTTTGATCCTTTTGACGCTTCACCCGCGCGTTCATCCCCGTAACGTTTTGAAAGGAGCCAGAGAGAGAGAAAGAGAGAAAGACCAAAAAAAAAAAAAAAAGAGAGGAAAAAAAAAAGCGAAAAAAAAAAAAAAAGCAGCAAAAAAAAAAAAGCAGCAAAAAGCGGGGAGTACCGGGAGGGGAAGAGGGAGGGGGGGTCACTCCTCGCTTATTGATTGCGTGGATGCTGGATGTGAAAATATATTTATGTCTGCCTGTGCTTGGCTCGTCAGAGACTAAGGTAAGCCGGACTCAAATAGGCGATCACTTTGTGAATGGCGGAGTGTATGTCCCAGTGATTTATGACCATATGACTCCGAGCTCGGTTCAAGAAGAGTTCACAAGCTTTAAGCTTCCTTCCACGCAGAGCCGCTTTTGCAGCCCTCGCCCACCGCCTGCATTTGTTGTTTTATTTTTTTTTTTGTAAATTCCGCTACCCCCACCCTCTTTTTCTGTATTTTTATTTATTTAATTTTTTTTTTTTCCGCCTTTCCACGCGGGTTATTTTCATTTTTCATTTCTTTTTTTTCCGCCTCTCCCCGCGTTTTCTACATTTTATTTTTTATTTCTTTCCTGCCTCTCCCCACGTTTTCTACATTTTATTTTTTATTTTTTCCGCCTCTCCTCGCGTTTTCTACATTTTATTTTTTATTTTTTTTCCTGCCTCTCCTCGCGTTTTCTACATTTTATTTTTATTTTTTTCCTGCCTCCCTCCGCGTTTTCTACATTTTATTTTTTTTTCTACCTCTCCTCGCGTTTTTCAATTTTAATTTTTTTTTTTATTTTCCGCCTCTCCCCGCGTTTTCTACATTTTTTTTTTCCTGCCTCTCCTCGCGTTTTTCAATTTTAATTTTTTTTTTTTTTAGTTTTCCGCCTCTCCCCGCGTTTTCCCAGCCGGGGGGGGTGGAGCTGTTGTGGCTTTGGGGTGCGGGGCGGGACGGAGGAAGGGAAATTTGGGGGCGCTTCGTTGTTCCTGCGGGCGCGGGGCTCCGCGCTCGTCCCCGGCTCCCTCCCCATTGTCGCGGGGCGCGCTCGGAATATTTGGGATTAATTTGGGATTAATTTGGGATTAATTTGGGATTAATCAGGGCCGGGATTAACGGCGGGGCCGGGGCGATGGAGCCGCCGGCGGGCGGGGGAGGGGAGGGGACGGCGCTGCCCTCGCCCAGGAGCGCCCCGGGCTCGCGAAATTCGGATTTTCCACCATGGAGGGGCCGCTTCTGCAGCGGGAAAACCCCGCGGCCTCCGCTCCTTCCCTCCCTTCCCTTCCCCGCCTGATCCCCGCATTTCTGCATTTCTATATTTCTATATTTCTATATTTCCACATTTCCCCATTTCCACATTTCCCCATTTCCACATTTCCCCATTTCCACATTTCCCCATTTCCACATTTCCACATTTCCACATTTCTGTTCTACCCCGGAGCATCCTCATCCTCCCCTTTCTCTGCCTCACCTTTCCCCCTCCCGATTCTTCATTTATTTTCTTTTTTTTTTTTTTTTGTTTGGCTTTTTTGTTGGTTTTTTGGGTTTTTTTGTTTTTTTCATTGAAATGGCCCCAAATCCTCGCCCTCCAAAGTTGCGGGCAAAGAGTTTTTGGGCAATCGCTGCCGCCCAAGTGAAACTCGGAGCTGCTCCCGCCCGCCTTTAACAGGAGCACGGCATCATCGAATATTTATTATTCTGCCCGGGCTTTTTTTTTTTTTCTTCTTTTTTTTTTTTTTCGCCTTTTTTCCCCCCCCCCCTTTCCTAAGCAATTCCTTGGAGTAAATAATTAGGATTGCGGCCGTCCCGGGCGAAGATAAATGAGCGGCATTTGTGAGGCGCTGAGAGATGAGGTACAAAGCGGAGCCACGAGCGAGGCGGAGGGGGTTGTAAATTTATTTTATGGACGTTTAAAACAACAAGAACCCAAAAAAAAAACCCCAAAAAAAACCAGGAAAAAAAAAAAAGAATAATCGCCGTTATTTTTAGCTGCTTTGGCCGAGCCTCGCGAGGTTCTGCTTTGGGATTATTTTGCTGTTTTTTGGGGTTTTTTTAATTTTTATTTTTAAGTAAATCTTTAGCAGACAGAAAGGCCTTGGAGAAATCCCCACCTCTGCCCCCTCGCAGATATTTCCAGCAAAGCTATTCATAATAAAGGCGCTGCTGTTTGTTAATTAATTAATTCACGGCTCGGGGAGCGGAGGCTACTTTTTAATAAGACAAATTTATCATGGCCAGGGAGGAGGAGGAGGAGGAGGAGGAGGAGGAGAATAACTCGCAGCGAGGATCTGCCCTGGGCGCAGACAATAACGCATCTCCGAGGAAGATCCGATGCGGATTTGGGAATGCGGGAAGGATTTAATCAGGGTAAAAAAAAAAATAAAATAAAATAAAATAAAATTAAATAAATAAATTTCCAAAAGGCCCGGCGGTCCCTCCGCGGGCGCCGCCAGGATGGGGTGAAGCAAGCGGAGCTTTGGTGACATAAAAACAGCAGCCAGGAAAAGGAGGAGGGAAAAAAAATGTTATTTATTGTCGAGCTGGGGCTTCTGTTAAAGCCCCGGCACTTAAAAATATCGCGCTGGGCTTTATCTCGGCGGGGTTTGTTTTGTTTTGTTCCGCGGGATGAAAGAGGCCCAGATAAAATTGAATATACAAGAGATACAATTAAATATACAATGGATATCAATCCCCAAACAAACGCTCGGCGGCTGCCGAGGCAGAGGGGAGCCTGTGCCTGGTTAAAAATCCCTCTGCCCATCATTTCCAAGCGGTTTTCACCTTTTTTATCTGGGTATTTCTACTCTGTTTGAATGGAGGAGAAAGTTTCCGCTGGGAGAAGGAGGAAAGAGAAAGGAAAAGAGGTGGAGGAAAAATCAGGAAAATCTCAGAGACAGAGGGAGGGGAGGAAAAATGAGGTTTAATTTTGTGATTTAAGGCTTTGGACTGGGGTATTTTCAGACTTTTTGAGTTTGGATTGAGGGAGGGAGGAACGCTGGAAAATCCGAGGGGTGCAAAGCGAGGAGCAAATGGCCTCGTGAAGTGTTTGTTTTCCACGAGAAAGAGAGAGGGGAAAAAAAATAAATAAAAAAACAACAACAGCGATGAAACCCCAGAGGGGCCGGGATCCGCTCCTCCCCGGCTCCGGACCTGGGACGAGAAACACAAAACCGTGCCGGGAAAAAAAAAAATAGGAAAAAATTTAAAAAAAAAGGGATTTATTTGGATTTATTTTCTAAATTGAACCTGTCAGGGAGGGGAGAGAGCCCCAGAGCAGGCCAGGGGGAGAAACCGCGTTTGGAATTCCTGCCTGCCCCGATCTGCTGGGAATCTCTGCCCCGAATTCCAGAGGCGCTGGGAGCTCCTGAGTAAACAAAAAAAGGAGCCGAGTGTGCCGGGACAGCGTTACCTGGGGGGAAAACACGGATTTCCGTGGTTACCTGGGGGGAAAACACGGATTTTCGCTGTTACCCGGGATAAAACACGGATTTTTGCTGTTATCTGGGGATAAAACACGGATTTTTGCTGTTCCTGGGGATAAAACACAGATTTTCGCTGTTACCTGGGGATAAAACACGGATTTTTGCTGTTCCTGGGGAAAAAACACGGATTTTTGCTGTTATCTGGGATAAAACACGGATTTTTGCTGTTACCTGGGGATAAAACATGGATTTTTGCTGTTTGCAGCTCAAAGGCAAACAAACCCTGGGGATGAACTTTGAATTTCTGTGCTGGGAGGACTCTGGGGCTGCTCCGTGTGTGATTTCGGTAGGAAGAGCAGGACTTTGGTTGTTTCCGTGCTTTTGGCCGGCGATTCTCCGCTCTGTGCTCTCACATTCGCGCTGGTTTGGGGTTTAGCTGGGTGTGTGAATCCGTGAGTGACGCCAACCCCCCCAGGGGTGTTTTAGGGGATTTGTGTGCGGGGATAAACCCAGAATAAATCAACGCACGGCGACCGTCCCGTGCGGAGCCACAGAGCGAAACGAGCGGTGAAAAGAAAACCTCCGCCGCCCCAAAAACCCCCTCAAAAATCAAATTTTTCCCCGAGCCCGGGCAGGGTGAAATGTGAAATCTGCTGGCAGCATCTGTTCCCCCCCCGTTCGGCGGGACCCTATTCATGTCAGGAGCCTTTCAGGCCCCAAGATGGATTCCTGGCACTATTATTGTGTTTTCTCTCCTAACCTTTCAGGTCAGCTCCCACCAGCCAGCTGGAGAGGGGCCGTCACGTGGCCTCGGGGTGCCAATGTTCTGCCATAGGGGTGTCAAGACCCTGGTAGCCAAAAAAGATGCAGAAGGCCTCGTACTACGACAGCTCCGCGCTCTTCGGGGGTTACTCCTACGGCAATGGGTTCGGCTACGAGGGCGCCCAGCCGCCTTTCCAGGCCTCTTCCCACCTGGACAGCGACTTCCAGAGGTCCTCCTGCTCCCTGCAGTCCCACGGCAAAAATAAGGAGCTCAACGGGAGCTGCATGCGGCCCGCGGAGCCGCCGGCGTCGCCCAACGCCAACAACGCCAACAACGCCAACAGCGCCAACAGCACCAACAGCGCCGCGGGCCAGGCCGGGAAAAACACCCCCGGGAAACCCGGCCTGGGGGCCAGCGGCAGCATCTCCAAGCAGATCTTCCCCTGGATGAAGGAGTCGAGGCAGAACTCCAAGCAGAAGAGCGGCTCGCCCGGCGCAGGTAGACGGGGAGGCCTCGGTGACGCGCGCCGGCCTCGCCCGCTGGGGGATGACGAGGCTGGAAGGCAGAAAAAATTGGGAGAGGAGGTCTGAGAGCGGCAGAGGGCTGGAGGAATTGGTTCGGGGGAAGCCAAAATTCTGCTTTGCCTGCCCAGAACTCCAAAATAAGAATCGCAAAGGGTTGGAGGAATCGGTTCGGGGAAGGACCAAATTCCCATTTTCCAGCCCAGAGCTCCAAAGAGAGGCCTAAGGGTTGCAGAAATCATTTAGGAAAGGCATAAATTCCTCCTTTACCCCCAGCAGTCCAAAGAGAGGTCTAAGAATCCCAAAGGGCTGGAGAAATCAGTTCAGGGAAGACCCAGATTCCCGTTTTCCAGCCCGGAATTCCAAAGAGAGGTCTAAGAACGGCAAAGGATTGGAGAAATCAGTTTAGGCAAGACCCAAATTCCCGTTTTCCTGCCCAGAATCCCAAAGGGAGGAAGGAAGAGCTCACGGGTGTGAACATTTTCCTTCTCCTCTGCAGGGATGGGGAGAGGACTCTGTGAGACCCCAGGGGGGTCCTGGCACTGCCCACCCACCCCTGGCTCATTAATTAATTAATTAATTAATTTATTAATTTATTTATGGGTTTATTTCAAACACAACCACAGGCCATGGACCCAGCCCCGGTCCGGCTGGTGGACGCAGATTTGGGGCAAATGTTCCCCCAACTGCTCAAATCACCACTAAAATTCTGTTTGGTGCCTTCCCGGCGCTCGGAAGGAGCAGGCGTGGTGCCGTGTCCAACTTCTCCATGTGCCCCACCAAAAATTCAGATAAATTCGGATAAAAACAAAAGTTCAGCTTGGATTTGCCACAATCCAGATAAATTCAGATAAAAATCAAAAATTCAGCTTGGATTTGCCACAATTCAGATAAAACCCAAAAATCCACTGATAAATTCAGATAAAACCCAAAATTTCGGCTAGAATTTAACGCAGTTCACATAAATTCAGATCAAAACCAAAAATTCAGCTCAGACTTACCAGAACTCAGGTGAATGCAGATAAAAACCAAAAATTCAGTTGGAATTCACCGCGATTTCGACAAATCCGTCCGCCCAAACCCCGCGGTGCTCGCTTCATCCCCCATTAATACAATTTATGGAGTTTTCCTCTCCAAGAGGCGGGTGCAGAGCCAAACCTTGGTGTCACACCTGTGTGCACACCAAACCCTGGTGTCACACCTGTGTGCAGAGCCAAACCCTGGTGTCACACCTGTGTGCACAAACCAAACCCTGGTGTCACACCTGTGTGCAGAGCCAAACCCTGGTGTCACACCTGTGTGTAAACCAAACCCTGGTGTCACACCTGTGCACAAACCAAACCCTGGTGTCACACCTGTGTGCACACCAAACCCTGGTGTCACACCTGTGTGCACAAACCAAACCCTGGTGTCACACCTGTGTGCAAACCAAACCCTGGTGTCACACCTGTGTGCAGAGCCAAACCCTGGTGTCACACCTGTGTGCACAAACCAAACCCTGGTGTCACACCTGTGTGCAGAGCCAAACCCTGGTGTCACACCTGTGTGTAAACCAAACCCTGGTGTCACACCTGTGCACAAACCAAACCTTGGTGTCACACCTGTGTGCAAACCAAACCCTGGTGTCACACCTGTGCACAAACCAAACCCTGGTGTCACACCTGTGTGCAGAGCCAAACCTTGGTGTCACACCTGTGTGCACACCAAACCCTGGTGTCACACCTGTGCGCAAACCAAACCCTGGTGTCACACCTGTGTGCACAGCCAAACCCTGGTGTCACACCTGTGTGCAGAGCCAAACCCTGGTGTCACACCTGTGTGCACAAACCAAACCCTGGTGTCACACCTGTGTGTACAAACCAAACCCTGGTGTCACACCTGTGTGCACAAACCAAACCTCGGTGTCACACCTGTGTGTACAAACCAAACCCTGGTGTCACACCTGTGTGCACACCAAACCTCGGTGTCACACCTGTGCACAAACCAAACCCTGGTGTCACACCTGTGTGCACAAACCAAACCCTGGTGTCACACCTGTGTGCAGAGCCAAACCCTGGTGTCACACCTGTGTGCACAAACCAAACCCTGGTGTCACACCTGTGTGCACACCAAACCCTGATGTCACACCTGTGCGCACACCAACCCCTGGTGTCACACCTGTGTGTACAAACCAAACCCTGGTGTCACACCTGTGCACAATCCAAACCCTGGTGTCACACCTGTGCACAAACCAAACCTCGGTGTCACACCTGTGTGCACACCAAACCTCGGTGTCACACCTGTGTGCAGAGCCAAACCCTGGTGTCACACCTGTGTGTACAAACCAAACCCTGGTGTCACACCTGTGTGCAGAGCCAAACCTTGGTGTCACACCTGTGCACAAACCAAACCCTGGTGTCACACCTGTGTGTACAAACCAAACCCTGGTGTCACACCTGTGCGCACACCAAACCCTGGTGTCACACCTGTGTGCACACCGCCCCCGTGGCTGCCCTGCCCTGCCCTGCCCTGCCCTGTCCTGCCCTGCCCTGCCCAACGTCATTTCCCAGAAAATTATCCACGGGAAATAATCTCCTCCTCAATAACGGGCCCTGGGATCCTCTCCGACATGACATGATCGAATTTTCATAAAGCAGGGGCAGCTTTGGAGAACAGAACTCTTAATAAATGACACGATTATGGAGCGCAGGCCGCGGCGCGGGGGCGAGGGGAGGGTTTATTAAGAGGCGACGCATTCAATTTCTGCCCCTAAGTAATTCTCCTTTATTTCATTCCGGGGGCGCGACAGAATCCTGCGGTGGCGGCGGCGGCGGCGGCGGCGGCGGTGGTGGTGAGAAAAGCCCCCCGGGCTCCTCGGCCTCCAAGAGGGCGCGCACGGCCTACACCAGCGCCCAGCTGGTGGAGCTGGAGAAGGAATTCCACTTCAACCGCTACCTGTGCCGGCCGCGGCGCGTGGAGATGGCCAACCTGCTGAACCTCAGCGAGCGCCAGATCAAGATCTGGTTCCAGAACAGGAGGATGAAGTACAAGAAGGATCAGAAATCCAAGGGCATGGGCGGCTCCTCCTCGGGAGGGCCCTCGCCCGCGGGCAGCCCCCCGCAGCCCATGCAGGCCTCGGCCGGGTTCCTCAACGCCCTGCACCCCATGAGCGGCGCCTACGAGGCGCCGTCGCCGCCTTCCTTCGGCAAACCCCACCAAAACGCCTACGCCGTGCCCAACCCCGGCTACCAGGCGGCCCTCAAGGGTTGCCCGAGCCAGCAGAAATTCGCCGGGGCCGCGGCGGCGGCGGCAGGGGCCGAGTACGAGCCGCACGTGCTGCAGGCCAACGGCGCGGCCTACGGCGCCATGCAGGGCAGCCCCGCCTACGTCGGAGGGAACTTTGTGGATGCTCTGCCCGCCTCGGGCCCGGCCCTCTACGGCCTCAACCACCTGGGCCAGCAGCACCAGGCCGGCGCCATGGACTACGGAGGGGTCCCGCCGGGCCAGCCCCACGGACCGTGCGAGAGCCACGCCACCTACGCGGAGCTCTCGTCGCACCACGCGACTTCTCAGGGCAGAATCCAAGAGGCGCCCAAGCTCACCCACCTGTGAGAGGGGAAGCTGGTGGTGGTTTTTTTTCGGGGGGAAAAAAGGGCGGTTTGGGTTTCAGGGATGGTTGTGTTGGGTTTCTCTCTGGCCTCGCCGGTTCTGGCGGGGTTTTGGGGTTTGTTATGAGCACAAAATCCGAGCGGGTTTGGTGGCTTTGGAAGGGAGGAACCTTCCTGGGTTTTGGCACAAATGCTTCTCAAACGGGCTCGGGGTGGTTTTGTGGGGATCCTGCAGGGTTTGGGCGGCCAAATCCGTCATTGCCAAGCCACATCTGGATCGTCACCGACAACTCCCGAATGCCGGGAAGGAGAAGAGTCCTCCAGCCAAGTTTTGGGGGTCTCTGCATCCAAAGAACCCCAACGAGATCCACCAGGAAGCTCTCCCCGCTTTGAGTCCTTCTCCAGATCCGCCGGCGCTTTCCTTGCCAGCCCTCAGAGGAAGGGTTGTCCTTTCCCGCCGGAAATGGGAGAAATCCGATTTCCCACCGGAAATGGGAGAAATCCAGTTTCTGACTGGAAATGGGAGAAATCCGATTTCCCACCGGGAAAAGGAGAAATCCGATTTCCCACCGGAAATGGGAGAAATCCAATTTCCCACCAGAAATGGGAGAAATCCAGTTTCTGACTGGAAAAGGGACAAATCCAATTTCCCACTGGAAATGGGAGAAATCCGATTTCCCACCGGAAATGGGAGAAATCCAGTTTCTGACTGGAAAAGGGACAAATCCAATTTCCCGCTGGAAAAAGGAGAAATTCCCTTTCCCACAGGGCGATTTCCCCCCAAACCTGCAAATCCCCAACCTGCCAAGACCCCAGAGCCACGCTCGTCCCTCCAGGCCCTGCTCCCCCTCTCCGAAACAACACCACAAAAAAAAACCCTTTAAAAACTCGGGATAAGAGAGGTCTAACCCCAAAAAGGGTCGAGGAAATCGTTGGGAGCGCCTCAATCCCCCTTTTTTCCCCCCACCCCAAAACTACAAAGAGAGGAAGAAAGAGCGGCCAGGTCTGAAAATTCCCCTTCCTTCGCCTCTGCTGAGGTGAAATCTCAATTTCTCCTTTTGGGGAGGGTTTTTTTGGGGGGGTGTTTTTTTAGGGCTGACGAGCAGAAGAAAACAAAGAGCAGTTGGGGAAATCCTGCTGTCCTTTCCTCCTCTCCCTTGAGCCGACGTGAAACAGGGTATTTTTGAGCAGAGGGAATGTCCTCCCACGGAAGCAGAGGCCAGGGGATCCCAGGGATCCGCTGGCGCTTTCCTGCCGGGACATCTTTGTTGCACTTAGAGTTTACATATAATGGGTATTAAAAAATAAAAATAATAATAATAATAATAATAATTAAAAATAAGCAACTTTGAAGGGCTCTCAGCTCCGTCGAGGCGCCCTTCAGTTAGGTGTGTGTTCTGGTGAACATTCATATATATTTATTGGTTATAGCAGTTGAGGATATTTTCCTTTTTTTTTTTCCTTTTTTTGTATTATTTATCCCCCCTCTCCCCCCTCCCCAGACCATGTATTTATATGAACAAAAAGCAAGAAAAAAAAACGGACAAAAATAAGATTCAAACGGTACTTTTTTAGTATTTCCTTCCCAAAAAAAAAAAGAGCAAGAAAAAAAAAGCACAGAAAAAAAAAAAAAGTAAAACAAAAAAAAAAATTAAAAAAAAAATAAAAGGACATTGTGTTCCCCTTGTCATTGTACCACGAGCTTCTTTTAGTTATTGTAATTTAGGGAGAAGCGGTAGTTTTCTGTTCCCTCGGTACTTATGAATAATGTAATTAGTTCTACCGGAGGCATGAGAGCAGAGCAGACTGGAATTGTTTGGGCCTGAATTAGAAGAGTTTTCATCGCGGCTCCCTCCCCTCCGCCCCTCCTCTCGCTGCAGCTCTCCCTTTGTTCTTACAGTAGTTCTTTTCTTTCCTCTTGTCTGCTCAACAATTCCTCAATAAAACTTTTCTGCTCTCCGTTTTATCTCGTCCTGTCCGCCCGGGCTTGGTTTTATTTGGGGGTAAAAAATTTAAAAAAACAAAAAAAGATTTGAAAGGGAAAAAAAAAAAAATAAAATTGTGGGAGGAAAGGGAGATGGGGAGGAAAAGGAGAGGGATGGAGAGCGGAGCTGGTTTGGGGTGAAATCCTGGGAATTCGGGCCCACAAAGAGCGATCACGTGGAGCCAGGCCCGGGCTGCCATTGGAGAGGGAAGGAAAACAAAGGAAAAAGGGATTAATCACCAAAAAATAATAAATAAAAACAACGAGAGGGGAAAAAAAAATTTAAAAAAAAGAGAAGAAAATGTAAAAATGGCCCAGAGTTTCCATCCGGGGTCCTGGGAAGTGACGAGGAATGAAATCCATAATTTCTAGGTTATTTAATTAAATATTAAATAATTGAATTCTGGCCGAAACAATCGAACAATGGAATTATTTCCGAAATATGAATGTGTGGCACCCACGAGTACACGGCAGCACCCCCCGGGCGCCCCAAATTTGGGTTAAAAGCGGGGAAAAAAAAACCCAAAAAAAGGGGAAGAGGAAAGGGGAGAAGAGCCCCGGGCCGGCAGCGAGAGCGGGCGGGGAAGCCGTGAATAATTCGCTTTTTCTGCTCTAAAGCCCTAAGAAAACTCCCATTAAAGCAGCGAGGGGCAATAAAAGTTTTATGGGCTGGAAAGGCTGGGGGTGAGGAGGATGAGGAGGAGGACGAGGAGGATGAAGGTTCCCTCCGCAGGGAAGGAGAGAGGGATCCTGGATTTTCAAAATCCCGTGAGAAAAGGGTGGAAAAGCTGGAAAAGGGACCCCCAAAAATAAAAAGGAAAAAAAAAATTTAAAAAGGAAAAAAAGGGGGTTGGGGTGCAGGAGCAGCACGTGGGGTTTGTGTTTTGTATTTTATGGTTTTTGATATTTTTTATAAAGTTTATATAGGTTATATATTTATAGATTATATTTATATATAATAAATACTAAATGTTATATATATAATATATATAACATTACATATTTCATAGTCCATAACATAGATTTTATACAGTATATTTTTCTATTATATAGTTCATTTTAAAATGTTTTTTTAAATTTTTTTTTTTTTTACATTTTACATCTTATATCCAATACCCTGCATTCCCTACCCCGCATTTTCTACCTGACATTTCCACATTTCAGATATTTCACATTTCACTCATTTCATCCACCTGTGTGCACAGCCAGCACAAATCCCCGAGGGAGTAAAAAATAAAAAATCTCTGGTGGAGAAAAATCTCTCGTGAGAAACGACCCCGAGCTCCGAGCCCTCCTCATAAACCGAGTTCCAGCTTCATAATTAAAAATTAGAAATAATTATCAATAATAACGGGATCTGGAGCACCAAGGAGCGACCTCCCGTACCCGGCCTGTGAAATATTTTTAATTAAAAAAAATCAATTTTAAAATTTATTTTTGCCAATAAAATAATTGAATTGTGCCGGCCTGGGCCGGATCATTTCTCCCTCCCCGCTCCCATTCCCGGATCGCTCCGGCGCCATGTTGAGCCCGGGATTCCCAGGAAATGGTGAAAATCCGGGAAAAAGGGGAAAAAAGCAATTCCGGGGCGCGCCCTGGGCCCTCCCTCCCCGGCGGGGCCGCGCTGCTCGCCCGGGCGTTGGGAACTCGGGAATTCGCCCCAGGATGCGAAACATTCCCCGCACCCCGGAGGTTTCTCCCCTTTTGCCTCAAAAAAATCCCAATTTCTCAAGAGTTTCTTTTCCTTTTTTATTTCTTTTCCCTCTTCTTATTTTTCCCCCCGTCTTCCTTTTCTCCTCTTTTCATTTCCCCTCTTCTAATTTTCCCTCTTTTCATTCCCCCCTCTTTTAACTTTTCCATCTTTTCATTTCCCCCCCATTTTCATTTCCCCCCTCCCTTTCCATTTTCCCATCTTTTAACTTTTCCATATTTTCATTTTCTCCCCTTTTAATTCCCCCCCTTTTCATTTTCCCCCTCCTTTTCATTTTCCCATCTTTTAGTTTTTCCATATTTTCATTTCCCCCCCGTTTCCATTTTTCCATATTTTCATTTTTCCATATTTTCATTTTCCCCCATTTTCATTTCCACCCGTTTTCATTTTTCCATCTTTTCATTTTTCCATCTTTTCATTTTTCCATCTTTTCATTTTCTCCCCTTTTCATCCCCCCACTTTTCCTTTTTCCCCCTTTCCATTTCTCTCCTTCTTTTCATTTTCCCATCTTTTCATTTTCCCCCCTTTTCATTTCCACCTCTCCTTTTCATTTTCTCATCTTTTAGTTTTTCCATATTTTCATTTTCTCCCCTTTTCATCCCCCCACTTTTCTTTTTTCCCCCCTTTCCATTTCTCTCCCTCTTTTCATTTTCCCCTCTTTTCATTTTCTCCCCTTTTCCTTTTCCCCCCCCTTTTCACTTCCCCCCCGTTTTCATTTTCCCATCTTTTAACTTTTCCATATTTTCATTTTCTCCCCTTTTCATCCCCCCACTTTTCCTTTTTTCCCCCTTTCCGTTTCCCTCCCTCTTTTCATTTTCCCATCTTTTCATTTTCTCCCCATTTTCATTTCCCCCATTTCCATTTCCCCCCCATCTCTTTTCATCCCCCCACTTTTATTTTCCCCCCTTTTTAAACTCCCCCCTCTTCTCATTTTCCCCTCTCTCTTTTCATCCCCCCCCAGTTTTCATTTCTCTTTTCCCCTCGCGGCTCCGAGTGCCAGCACAAACCCCGAGTCAGCTTTTGCCAGCGGCTGGGAAGAATTTCCCCCCTTCCACCCCAAATTCCTCCTCTCCATCCCATCCCTCACACCCCAGGAACCCGCTCCCAACCAGCCAGCAAGGAGCAACCCCCGATTATTTTACTTTTAATCACTGATCCCACGAGACGGAGCAGATTTCGGGCTGGTTTTGATTCGCGGATCCTCGGAGCACTCGGGGAAGTTCGGGCCTGCGCTCGGCATTTTTTCAATTATCGCCATTATTTCCCTAACCCCCGCTGGCTGGAGGAGCTTTGGGTTTCTCGGTCCCTCCCCACCCACGCGGATGCTTCGAGTGACAAAAGTTTCCAGGGAACGGAGCCTCCCCGTCCCTCCCGGCCGCAAACTGGGACAACTGGAGCTCCAACAAACCCCAAAACCCCTTCTCCATTCATCCCCTCCAGGCGCATTTATTTTAATTTCTCTCTCTTTTTTTTTTAAATTTTTTTTTTGTTTGTTTTTTGAGTTTCTGCCCTTGAAACCCGCGGGCTGAAGTTTATAAAACCCCCGTGGTAAAAGCGGAGTTTCTGTGCCGAGGGCGAGTCAGGGCGAGCTGTCAGGAGGCTTTGCAGGAGAAGATTGATGGTGATGGTTCCTCTCTTCTTCTCGGGCTGCGCGGACCCGGGGCGCTTTAGAGAGGGAAAAGAAAGAAAGGGAAAAAAAAGAAAAAAAAAGAAAAAAAAAAAAGTTGGGAAATGACTTTTTCGTTTTATTTATTTGTTTTGTAAACTCTGGAAGTGGCGCTGCTTGATTGGAGAAAAAGGGATGGGAAGGAAGAAAAGCGATTTCAGAGACAGCCGTGACCTTAAAACGCGCTCGGGCTTTGAGCGAGGTGCAAAGGGTCCATTAAGCCTGGCCTGGGAAGGACAAGGATTAGGCCGCTCCTTAGGAGTCATTTAAACCCGTAAATGGGGCGGGTGTAACTAAACTCGGCTTAAAGGTTTAACTAAACTCAGCTCAAAGGCTCGCTTGATTTCCTAAGGGTTCACAGCGGCAGGAACGGGGCAGGGAATGGGGCAGGGAATGGGCAGGGAAAGAGGGGAAGGGGAAGGGGAAGGGGAAGGGGAAGGGGAAGGGGAAGGGGAAAGGGAAAGGGAAAGGGAAGGGAAGGGAAGGGAAGGGAAGGGAAGGGAAGGAAGGGAAGGGAAGGGAAGGGAAGGGAAGGGAAGGGAAGGGAAGGGAAGGGAAGGGAAGGGAAGGGAAGGGAAGGGAAGGGAAGGGAAGGGAAGGGAAGGGAAGGGAAGGAGGGAGGAAAGGAAGGAAGGAAGGAAGGAAGGAAGGAAGGAAGGAAGGAAGGAAGGAAGGAAGGAAGGAAGGAAGGAAGGAAGGAAGGAAGGAAGGAAGGAAGGAAGGAAGGAAGGAAGGAAGGAAGGAAGGAAGGAAGGAAGGAAGGAAGGAAGGAAGGAAGGAAGGAAGGAAGGAAGGAAGGAAGGAAGGAAGGAAGGAAGGAAGGAAGGAAGGAAGGAAGGAAGGAAGGAAGGAAGGAAGGAAGGAAGGAAGGAAGGAAGGAAGGAAGGAAGGAAGGAAGGAAGGAAGGAAGGAAGGAAGGAAGGAAGGAAGGAAGGAAGGAAGGAAGGAAGATCTCCCTGCCCGAGCAATGGTGTCGATTCTGGGGTGCTGCCGTTGGCTTTTCTGGGGTTCCCCTCTGTCTCTCCCCTTTTCCTCCCCTTTTTTTAATCAATAAAGCAAATAACGCTTTCCGTTTGCCACCAGGCCCCTCCTGCCATTGGCCAGGGCCTCCCACGTGACGAGGAATTGGCTGCAATTTCGCCCCAGCCTCGAGTTTGGCAGAGCAGGGTCCCCCTCCGCCCGTGTTATCGCAATATAACAATTACAGGAAAACCCCGGGACCCTCATCATCCCCGCCATCCCAAACCCGAGGCCTCCGCTTCCTCTCCCCCTCCTCCTCCTCCTCCTCCTCCTCCTCCTCCTCCCTCTCCCCCGCCTCCCTCCCGCTTTTAAAGCCGGGCCCTGGAAAAGCCATGAATTTTGAATTTGAGAGGGAGATCGGGTTCATAAACAGCCAGCCTTCGCTCGCTGAGTGCCTGACGTCTCTGCCCGCTGTCCTGGAGACATTTCAAACTTCATCAATCAAGGACTCGACGTTAATTCCTCCTCCTTTCGAGCAGAGCCTCCTCCAAAGCCTCGATCCTTGCTCGGGCAGGAGCCGCAGCCGAGCCCCGCATGGCCCGGCCCGGCCCGGCCCGGCCCAGCCCGGCCCCCGGGCTGCGGAATTCCCTTGGATGAAGGAGAAGAAATCGTCCAAGAGAAGCGGCCACGCTGCGGCCGCCTCGTCCCCGCCATCCTCATCCTCATCCTCATCCTCCTCATCCTCATCCTCGCTGCCGGCGCCCGCCGCGGGATCTCCCGCAGGTTCGTATGGCCGGGGGGGGGGGGTGTGCATCGGAAAATGGAAAATAATGGAGAAAAAAAATACGGGAAACGGCCAATTCCGGCCCAAAACAGCCCCAGCCCATCCCCCTGCCCGCGAGGCTCCCCCGGGATCGGGGAATTCACGGAGCGAGGAACCGGGGGGGTTCTGCTGCCTCCTCCTCCTCCTCCTCCCAGGGAAAATCAGAAATTTCTGCCACTTCTGCCCAAGCCCCGAGCGAGCAGGGCCCGGGGGGGTTTGCAGCTCCGTTCGTTCGGCTTTCAACGCCAGAGCTGCGGGGTTTTACAGCCCACGGGGGGAAAAAAAGGGGGAAAAATTTCAAAAAAGGGGGAAAAGCAAAGACAACGAAACGCCAAAGATGCGCGGAGGGGGAAGGAAAATGAATGGGTGGGGAGGTGAAAGAGCCAGGGCTGATCCTGCGAAATGAAATTATTGCACCCCAAACCCCCCCAGAAACAGGAGCAGCCTCTCGCTGCTCGGCCTCCCTGCCTGCCTCCCTCGGGATAGAGCGCGGGAGGAACAATTCCAGGATTTCCAGGGCTCGGGCAATGCCCGGCAGGACCAGGGCGGACACCGCAGCTCATTGGCCCGGGAAAAGTGGGATAATGAAAGCAAAGCACCGGGAAAAGGTAAAAAAAAACCCAAAAAACCAAAAAACCACAGAACAACAAAAAACGGGACAGAGGGAATGAAGAAATTGAGAAGAAATTGAGAATGAGTTCAGAAGAAATGGGGAATAAATTTAGAATAAATTTAGAATAAATTTAGAATAAATGTAGAATAAATTTAGAAGAAATTTGGAAGAAATTTAGAAGAAATTGAGAAGAAATTTAGGAGTTTAGAAATATCCTGCATTTTAGGGATTTAGAAGGAAGGTAGGAATTCTTTTCATGCTCCAGGGCGGCAGAGAGGGAAGGGCTCTAAAGGGAGAGACCAGGGAGCGAAATCCCCTTTTCCCCCCGGGGCAGAGACCTCGTCCGGAGCGGGAAAAGTTGAACGGACGAATTTTGGTGCCAATTCCCGTGATTTTTTTTTTTTCCGGCAGAGGCGGCGGGGCCGGCGGACGGCAGCGGCTCCAGGAGGCTCCGCACCGCCTACACCAACACGCAGCTGCTGGAGCTGGAGAAGGAATTCCACTTCAACAAATACCTGTGCCGGCCCCGCCGGGTGGAGATCGCGGCGCTGCTGCAGCTCAGCGAGCGCCAGGTCAAGGTGTGGTTCCAGAACCGGAGGATGAAGCACAAGAGGCAGACGCAGCACAGGGAGGAGCCGCCCTCGGCCGGGCCGGAGGAGGCCGCGGAGCAGCGCGCAGGGAACGCGGAGCCGGAGCTCGGGGCGCTCTCGGTGGAGCCGTGCCTGGAGCTCGGCCCGGGCTCCCTGGGGAGCCCCCTGCGCTTCTCCGAGGAGGAGCTGGAGCTGTTCGGCAGCGCGCTCTGCACCATGGACCTGCGGCAGCTGGAGCTGCCCTGACCGCAGCTGCGAGCCCCCGGCGCTGCCGCAGGGATTGGGGCGCTCGGCCTCGCAGCGGCCGCTGCCGGCACCCCCGAAGCTGCCCGGAGAGGAGGGGGAGCCCGAAAATGCGGCCAGAGAAAAGGGGGACCCCGGAAATATGGCCAGAGAGAAAAGGGGGAACCCTCAAAACATGGCCAGAGAAAAGGGGGAACCCGAAAATATGGCCTCAGAAAAGGGGGAACCCGGAAATGCGGCCTGAGAAAAGGGGAACACCGGAAATGCGGCCTGAGAAAAGGGGGAACACCGGATATATGGGCTGAGAAAAGGGGGAAACCCGGAAATCTGGCCTGAGAAAAGGGGGAACACCGGATATATGGCCTGAGAAAAGGGGAACACCGGATATATGGGCAGAGAAAAGGGGAAACCCGGAAATCTGGCCTGAGAAAAGGGGAACCCGGAAATGCGGCCAGAGAAAAGGGGAGCCCGAAAATATGGCCTGAGAAAAGGGGATCCCGGATATATGGCCTGAGAAAAGGGGGAACACCGGATATATGGCCTCAGAAAAGGGAAAACCCGGATATATGGCCAGAGAAAAGGGGAAACCCGGAAATGTGGCCAAAGAAAAGGGGGAACCCGGATATATGGCCTGAGAAAAGGGGAACACCGGAAATCTGGCCAGAGAAAAGGGGGAACCAGAAAATATGGCCAGAGAAAAGGGGGAACACCGGAAATGCGGCCAGAGAAAAGGGGAACCCGGATATATGGCCTGAATAAAGGGGGAACACCGGATATATGGCCAGAGAAAAGGGGGAACCCGGAAATGCGGCCAGAGAAAAGGGGAACCCGGATATATGGCCTGAGAAAAGGGGGAACACCGGATATATGGCCTGAGAAAAGGGGAAACCCGGAAATCTGGCCAGAGAAAAGGGGAACACCGGATATATGGGCAGAGAAAAGGGGAAACACCGGAAGTGCGGCCAGAGAAAAGGGGGAACCGGGAAATATGGCCTAAAAGAAGGGGAACTCTCCAAATATGGCCTGAGAAAAGGGGGAACCCTCAATATCTGGCCTAAGAGAAGGAGAATCCCCAAAATATGGCCCTAAGAGAGGGGAGAGCCCCAAAATCTGGCCAGAGAAAAGGGGAAACCCGGAAATCTGGCCTAAAAGAAGGGGAACCCCCAAAATCGGCCCTAAAAGAAGGGGAACCCCCCCAAAATCAGCCCTAAAAGAAGAGGAAAGCCCCCAAAAGAAGGGGAACCCCCCAAAATCCCCCTGAAGCCATTTCCCATTCAGTCGCCTCCTCCCACTTCCGTTGGAAGCTCCGAGCCACCCAAACCTCCCTCCCAAATTTATTCCAGAAGGGGAAAGAGCGGCCCCAGTTTTGCTAAAATTCAGGTAATTTCGTGATCCTTTTATTTATATTTTTCCTCCCCCCCTTATTTATTTCCAAGGAAGCAGCCGGCGGTTCTCACGCACAGGGGGAGATTTCAGCCCCCGGAGAGAAAAAAAAAAATAAATTAAATTTATAAATCCTCCTCCCCAGCGACTTTCTCAGGAATCAGAATGAGACTTTTAGATTTCGTAATAAAATAAAAAAAAAAGAAAATTAAAAAAAAACAGGGGAATTTTCCTTCCTCTTTTTACGTTTTAGATGTAGATTATTTATTCAAATCCTTTCGTAGCAAAGGGCAAATTATTTATTGTATATTTTTTTCATAGAGTAAATAAACGCCTTTATAAAAGTGACAGAAGCGTGTTTGCTCTGGATTTCATTCCAAAAAAGCGCTTTTTTTTTTTTTGTTTTGTTTTGTTTTGTTTTCCTCCATAAATCATTCGCTTTTCCCTGCTTTGTAACGAGGTTTAATCATCTCCTCGTGTGCCCTGGGAGGAGACAAAAGGAATCGCTCCCAGCCAACGATTCCAGAGGAAATATTCCCGAGTTCTGGGCTCGTTTTCCCCCAGCTCGGGGTTTGTTTATTTATTCGTTTATTTATTTATTGTAACCAATCAAAGCGGGGTGGTTCTTTCTTAATTTTAGCGTTTTGGGGTTCTGCTTCGGGGACGGGAAAAATCCTCGAATTTGAGGGGAAAAAAGGGGAAAAAATACAAATAAAACCCTAAAAAATAAAGGGGATAAAGGGATGGGAAAACAACACAAAGGCAGCGCGGAGCCCACGCGAATTCCGGGGCCATTCCCGGCCTCCCACATCCCAATCCCGCCCTTCATCCCCATCCTCCTCCTCCTCCTCCTCCTCCTCCTCCTCCTCCTCCTCCTCCTCCTTTCTCTCAGAATCCACCACAGTTCCCGGGCTTTGAAACGTCCGGAGCTGCAAAAAACGGTCGAATTTTGGGGTGAATTTGGTGCTTTCAGTGCCTGGGCGGGGTCACCCCCCCTACCCTGCCTCTCCAGGGAAATTTGGGATCTTTTATTTGGGGTAAAAAGCAGCAGAGCGGGGCTGGGTTCACACTGAGAAAATAAAATAAATAAAAATAAACAGAAGCTAAATAAAAGCAGGCGAAGGCCAGAGAGACGTTTGGGAATGGCTGTGGGTGATCTCTCTCGGCTCGAACAAAGAGGGGCCGGGGTGGTTTTGGGGCCACCTTTGGGTCCCCAAATCTCCTCCCCAAGAGAGGAGCCGGCAATGCCCAAACCTCGCTCCTCGCTGCGCTTGCCCGCATTCAAAACCCACTCCGGCCATGAATATTTGAATATTTGAATATTTAAATTTCCCAGCCCCGTTGCCAGGGGGAAAGGGCAGCGCTGGAGCCGAGCCCAGCCCCTCTCCCACCGCCTCCCCTCCGCTCGGGGGTCCCCGAGCCGCGAGTCTGGGGGAGCAGAGCCCCCCCAAACCCTTTATTCTTTATTTTGGGGGTTATTTCACAGCCCTGGCTGCTGTGGCGCACTCGGAGCTGCCAGACGGGGCCATCAAAGCGCCATTTGCTCTGGCACTTCCCACCTTCCTCCTCCTCCTCCTCCTCCTCCTCCTCCTCCTCCCCTTCTCCCACCCCATTCCAGGCCAGCAGGGGAAGCTCGGCCCTGCCCCGGGTTGGTTTTGGGGTCTGAGCATCCTTTAGGCCTCCCCAGGGGCAGCCCCTCCTGTATCCAGGTGAAAAATGAGGAAACAAATCTCCAAAAGAGCTTTGACTCCACATGGAGATGGTGATTGACACACGGAGATGGTGATTGACACACGGAGATGGTGATTGACACATGGAGATAGTCATTCCCACACTGGGATGGTCATTCCCACACTGGGATGGTCATTGACACACTGAGATGGTCACTGACACACGGAGATGGTGATTGACACACTGAGATGGTCACTGACACATGGAGATGGTCATTGACACACTGAGATGGTCATTGACACACTGGGATGGTCATTGGCACACTGGGATGGTCATTCCCACACTGAGATGGTCATTGACACACTCAGATGGTCATTGACACATGGAGATGGTCATTGGCACACTGGGATGGTGATTGACACATGGAGATGGTGATTGACACATGGAGATGGTCATTGGCACACTCAGAGGGTGATTGACACACTGAGATGGTCATTGGCACACGGAGATGGTCATTGGCACACTCAGATGGTGATTGACACACTCAGATGGTCATTCCCACACTGAGATGGTCATTGGCACACTGGGATGGTCATTGACACACTGAGATGGTCATTGGCATACTGAGATGGTCATTGGCATACTGAGATGGTCATTCCCACACTGGGATGGTCATTGGCACACTGGGATGGTCATTGACACACGGAGATGGTCATTGGCATACTGAGATGGTCATTGGCATACTGAGATGGTCATTGGCATACTGAGATGGTCATTGGCACACTGGGATGGTCATTGGCACACTGGGATGGTCACTGATACACTGGGATGGTCATTGACACACTGAGATGGTCATTGACACACTCAGATGGTCATTGGCACACTCAGATGGTCATTGACACACTGAGATGGTCATTGACACACTGGGATGGTCATTGACGCACTGGGATGGTCATTGGCACACTGGGATGGTCATTGACACACTGAGATGGTCATTGGCACACTGAGATGGTCATTCCCACCCTGAGATGCTCTTCAGACTAAAAATGAGAGGAAATGTCCCAAAACGGGCGGATTTCCGCATTTCCACGCCCTTTTCCCGTGGGGAAGGGAGGAGGGGAAGGGCGAGGCCGAGGGAGGGGTCAGGAGGGAGCCCCTGGAAAAGGGACAGGGAAAGGGGTCCCTAAATTGCCCAAATTAAACCCAGAGTTCTTATCAATACCTGTCCCCAGTGAGGGTGGGGAAAAAGACCCCAAACCCCTCCCCAGATCAAACCCCGAGTTATTCTCGCTGCAAATCCTCAATGAGGGTGGGACAAGAGACCCCAAACCCCCCCAGATCAAACCCTGAGCCCCCATGGTCCCTAACGAGGGTGGGGAAAGGGACCCCAAACCCCCTCAGATCAAACCCCGAGTTCTCATTGATACCAATCCCCAATGGGGAAAGGAAAAGGGACCCCAAAATCCCCCCCCCAAATTAAACCCCGAGTTATTCTCGCTGCAAATCCCCAGTGAGGGTGGGGAAAGGGACCCCAAGGACCCTCCCCAGATCAAACCCGAGCCCCCATCGATCCCAGTCCCTAACGAGGGTGGGAAAGGGGTCCCAAACCCCGTCCCCAAATCAAACCCGAGCCCCCATCGATCCCGATCCCCAGTGAGGGTGGGAAAGGGGTCCCAAGGCCCCCCAGATCAAACCCAAGCCCCCATCGATCCCGATCCCCAGTGAGGGTGGCAAAAGGGACCCCAAAATCCCCCCCAAATTAAACCCCGAGTTATTCTCGCTGCAAATCCCCAGTGAGGGTGGGGAAAGGGACCCCAAACTCCGTCCCCAGATCAAACCCCGAGCCCCCATCGATCCCGATCCCCAGTGAGGACGGCAAAAGGGACCCAAACCCCTCCCCAGATTAAACCCGGCGTTCTCGTTGCCAAAAACCCCGACCGGGGGCGGGAATCCCGGTCCTCAGTGAAGGTGGCAAAAGGGACCCCAAAATCCCTCCCCAGATTAAACCCGGCGTTCTCGTTGCCAAAAACCCCGACCGGGGGCGGGAGTCCCGGTCCCCAGCGAGGCCCGTGCTGCGTTCCCGGCGTGGCCGCGGCTCCCCGGGCTCAGCCCCGCTCAATGCCCGGCCCAAAGGCCCTCCCCGACCGCGGCGCCGCGGTTTTCATCATCCCCCGAACAGCGGGGCCCTTCCTATCTGTCCTAATTAGCGAGACCGAGGC